TTGAGAAGGCTGTGAAGGAATACAAAGCAGGTGCTTTTGCAAAGTTGCATTTCCTAAGCACTAGAGAAGAAAGCACACAAAAAAATATATATATATGTATAGCTGGTGATGAAGGCTAGCCATCCGAGCCTGGAAACAGCAGCACAGCCAGTCTAGAGACTTCTGTACATGACACACGTAGAGAACCCAAAACAAACAAGAAACCAGTAAGCAACACTTCCTCCTCAAGTAAGCCTTTTCGCAGAGAAGTTTAACTCTAGTCCAGCCCCAGGATATTTTGACAGATTCACTTCAGCATGCTGGTAGCAGGCTATTGAAGTGCTCCCATGCTAAACGTATTCTCCTTTCATCTTCACAGAACTTGAGGGGAAGACATAATTTTAGACTTTTCTCTCAGGAAAAAACCTGCAGCTGCCAAGAAACACTAGTTAAAGATAATGGGAGGTGGGGGAAGGATTTCTAATCATCCTCAGGTTGCACTTGCTAGAACTGTACTCTGCACATACCTGCTGCTTTCACATTTCTGTGTGTTAAGTACACAGCAAAGACACCATTTACCTCCCCAAGCACAACAAAGTTTTGCCAAGATTGTTCAGTAAAACTAACAGAAGACATTGGTAAAGCTAAGATTTCCATATTTACCAGCTTGGGTAGATTAAATGTATTTCCATTGTCATCTCTGAAGGAATATAAAACGCCCTTCTCTCTTCACATAGGGATATGCAAAAGGTCAAGTTAAAGTTGTGTCAAGATCTGGCAGACCTCTCAAGTGGCTCTTTCAAGTTACAGGGAAGAGAATCAAAGTTGAAACCTCTAATTTGGAGACACTTTCAAGGTATCACAGCATAAATTTTCAGTCTGCACAGCTTTAACAGTGTTCCTTTAAATATAATTAATAGTTAGAAGCAGTGGCAGAGAACTGATGGCCGGCCAGCAACGCTCTGCCTGCTGAGCTTTCAACTTACCCCGCTAAAAAAAATTTAAGTGAAGGTCTTGTGAAACGAACTATCCCCAGCACATCGCAAGTACTTCAAATATGACATAACTTGTGGACTTTTTACATAGGCATCTCCGATTACTTCACAATGGTCCACATTTCCGCTCTTTTAATTTACAGATGTGGAAAGCGAGGAAGAGCAAGCAAGCCTGAGCAACCCGCACAGGGTTGTTATGTCAAAGAGTTTGAATTTTCAACCCAGTGGCCATTCAAAGAATGCAAAGTATTTTTTAACTTGCACCTTCAACAGCCACAAATTTGACTCAGTTGTTACCAATTCCATTCATATTTGTATAGTGGGGGAAAAATAAGCATATTTCAGTAACGCTACTGTTTATTGACCTCTCTTGGTTTCAACTGTCAGAGAAGCGAGGGGACTACAGTGAAACGCATCTCAACATCACCAAATTGTTTAAGAGCTGGGGTATTAGACATTTCACGTTACATGCTCATTTATACTTTTTCGCAGCCAAGAATCTCACCTGCACTGATAGCAACCTCAACTGCTAGTTTTTATAAACCTGTGTTCATACACTCTAGTCTCTCAGGCAGCACGTCACATCTGTTAACATCGACTACTGCAGAGGACCAGCAGCAATCGGCACCCAGCAGCTGGCAGGGGTGAAAATTAACTGCTACTGAGCTCTACTCCATCTCCTTGACATCCATCCTTGAGGATGAGATTCCTTAAGAACTACCAAAAAAGAAACGCACAGTGCTTTGGTAACACTTGGTGATGTGAGGAACTTTCGGTGGGAGTTAGTGTAGCTCATGAAGATGGCCCACTTCACGTGAGAAAGCACAGATGCAGCACCAAGGGGTGACAATGTGCTTGATGGATATAAACAGGTCGTTTGTTGCATTTGAGGTCACTTTAACATTGTCATTTCTGCTAGGTCTCTCTGCGGCTGGGAGCCTTGCTCATTTCTCCACATACAGCCATCCAGCTATCTGGAACTTATTTAGGAGGAGACAACTGGTCCAAAGGACAGCTCTTGGGATAAAGCTGTGCCTTAGGACATACTTATCTGCTTGTATTCACGTGATGTTTTTTGTCTTTTACTTGGCCTGCAAGCTATTTGAGGGCAGACTGTGCCTTTCTGCTCTGTGTTTAGGTTCAGACAGCCTGAAGGACACCCAGGTCTTCATCGTCCATGAGCTCAGCATCGGTGTGCTTGGCTTCAGGGGACCAGCACACACAGAACCAGGAACAGGAGCGGGTCCTGTACGTACTTCTACGAAAGTTGTCACCTAGGATTAACGGGCAGAGAGCAAACTGCATTAAAAAAGCAACAAGAAAAACCTCAGCTGACACAACGGGCCCCACCCTTGGCAATGCAGAACACCAGCTGCTTAGGGGCTTGGAGACAGTTTCTTGACTGCTGCAGCCCAGCCTGATGGATAGGAGCTATAATTGGGAATCAAGACACTAATTGCAACGCCAGATTTTTTTTTTAAAGCCTGCCATAGGACTCTAAGCCATCTTAAATATTTACTTCTTTCAGTTTTCTCCTCCAATCCCTTGTCTATTTGCAGTATAAGCTCAGTTGGGCAAGGAGTGCTGTGCTCTCAAAGGCTGCAGCACAGATGCAGCCCTTCCTCTACAGCTTTCAGAAGAGCTGCCCTTCCTGCAACCAGACAGACATCCTGTCTGCTTGTATTTAATATATATCCAAATATAGACGTGTTTACAAACATACTACACATATATATTGTTTTTCAATGATTTAAATATCATAAAGGTTTTGAAAACAGTTCTCTAGTATTACATGTTCTTTAGGTGATCTTAATGGCATCTCTCGAGGTTTGTAATCCCTTCACACCAATATTGTCCTCTAGAACACAGCTTCTTTTTTAATGTAATACAACCACTTTCCATTATTTTTGTCAGAGGTTTGCTTTTCCTTACAAAAGTCTACTAAAAGTGTAAAGACTCAAGTACAACAGTCTTCAACCATGCAGCATCACTAGATTCCAGTTCCACGTACCTGTAGCACTGAACAAGTGATTTCCTATGCACTTACATTGAGCTGTACTCTCATCTGGCCCTACCAGAAGGTCATCATTGCTCTGCCTGAGCCCAACAGAAAAAGGATTTACCTTGGTTTTCCACAGCTCTGAAGACTAGGACAAAAAAAAAAAAAAAAAAAAAAAAAGAGGTGGGAAGAACTCTGGGGAGGGCAAGAAGAACCTGATGAGGAAAGAGTCACTTGAGTTCAAAGGTCTTTAGTTTTCTCTTTACTCCCTAGGGAAAGCCAAACAAACAAAACCCCTTGTTTTAACTTTTAAAAGGTACATCTCTAACACCTTCCTAAAGAGCAAATGGACTTTTCTCTTAGTAGTGCCATGAAAGAAGTTCCAACAGTGCATCACAGGTTTTGAACCGAACAATGTAAAAGGACCAAGTGAAATCTTTCACGATATGAAACTACAGTAACAGATAATATAATACAGCAGCTGCTTCAAATGTTTTTCAGTATTTTAAGAATTCAGGTATTTTTCAGTCACCTTCCTAAACCCAAGGAGAGAGTTAACTCATCACTCGATGATTTTCACTGCCTAACATCAAATATGGATCATAGAACTCTGTTTATAGCACCTAAAGTACTCTTACTTAGTATATCGCTCACCATAGCCTTTGGGTTATGAAGCACAAACACTCTACAATAAAAACTCCAGGTTTTATCAAGTTATGAATTCAAGAGCTGATTAAATTACTCCTGCTGTTTAAATGACTATCTGCTACCAAAAATAAGCATGTTGCGTGGCTCTGAAATAGGCTCTTTGGCTTTGTCAATTAAAAAAAGCATTAAATTCCTAGTAACAGTTCATTACAGTACATGCATGTACAGTCTGTGTTCAAGGGGGCCACATACACATACATCCTACTGAAATTATTTGGAGAAGCTATTTCAGCTGTACCTAAAGGCACTCCGTCACCTGATGGGCACAGTTAGAGACCAATACAGTGTGATGAAAAGAAAATACTTGGTCGGGTTCATATTGAGAATAAAGGTTTGAAAGAATATCACATTTTCTCTTCACAAAATAAGCAAACAAAAGAAATGGAATGTGAGACCTTAGCTCGAAATCAGGGTTTACAAATACAGCTGCTGATGATTTAAACAGTTTGGAGCCTTTATCACTAAGCTTAATAGGAAAATTGGACTTTCAAATGAGTGAAAGGTGAAACAAGCTGGCTATTGTGTGGTCAGCTTGAAGATTGCACACAGAAAGTGTGTTTTTGATGACGGGAGAAGTTACATTTGGCCTTCTAAGAAGAAAGAAGAGAGCAGGATATTAGCATCCTCTGCAAACTAATTGAAGACTAACATGCACACGAACCGCAAAAGAAGGCATTCAGTCATCTTCCTAAGAAAATAACGAGTTTGGCAGCACAACAGTCCTCAGAGAAATGCCAGGACAGAAACTTCTGTTGTCCTTGTTGATTCAGCAGCCGATGCGTCCAATATCTTAGTACTTTGTAAGGAACGAGCCTTCCAGCATCTTTAACACGCTGGAAAGGAGTCCTGCTGATGCATGCCAAGAAACCCAAGAAAAGCTAACTTGGACTCACAAATACCATCGCTGGGATGTTTTATGGCCCTAAGCAGACAGGGCTATCGCTTAGGTAGGGCTGGCTGCTGGGTGCAGAGGGCAGGAGCCGGCAGCAAGCAGCGGCTGCCCCCACACACAGCTGGCAGCCACCCCTGGCACCTTCCTCACCTGTTCACCACCTCTCTGCGGTGTAACACACCTGAATTTGAACCAAGACCTCTGCCCCCGGCTTTTCACTGCCTACACCTGCTAAAGCCACTCCTGCCCCCCAGCCAGCCCCGGCTGTCCCCGCACAGTGTGTCCCCACCAGACGAGGCGCGGCCAGCGCGGCGGGCTCCCTTTCTCTCCCCGCCTACACCCGGGCCTCAATCCCCTTCCAAATTCCCCTCTCCACACTCCGCCAGCCCCCGTGCAAACACCCGGGGGCTGCCGCCCCCTTCCCTACCCTGGTAGGCGCGGCCGGGGCAGGCGGTGAGGGCGAGCAGGGCGGCCAGGCGCAGGCAGCGGCTCGCCATGCTGCGCGGCGGCGGTGGCGGCGGCCCTTCCCGGCTGAGGGCTGCGCGGCAAAGGGGCAGGAGGAGGAGGAGTGGGACGGAGACATCCTCGGAGCGGGCTCCCCAGCTCGGCCCGAGGCTCCTCCTCCTCCTCCTCCTGTGAGGGAGCTCGGCACGGCCCCGCCTCGCCTCCCCTGGCCCGCCGGCATCGACCCCAACGTGGCGCCCTGGCCCCGTGCCCCCACAGCTGGGGGTCCCGGCTCCCCCGACCCGCAGCCCCTCAGGGAGCCTTGTCCCCTCTCTTCCCTCTCTCCCCTCTCTCCCCCAGCAGCCTCCGCCGGCGGGAAGGGGAGTTTGAGGATGAGGATGAGGAAGGGCAGCCCCCAAAGCACGAGGCAGGCCCCTGAGCCGCGGGGTTATGAGGGAGAAGTGCGGGGTCTTTGCGTTTGCCCCTGAGGTTTTGGGGTGCTCGGGGTCACGGCTGTGGGCTTTCTGGCAGGAGCACAAAGATTGGAGGCCTTCCTCGCACACCCTGCCAGATGAAAGCGGTTCCCCAAATCCTAGCCTGCAGACGAGAGGGCTCCAGGCAGAGCATGGGGTGTTCCAGCGCTTGATTAAAGCTGGAGATCCGTCAGCCCTGAAGCTCCACTGCAGCGAGGCTTAGTTATCCTGTTATTTTTCCATGTTAGAGAGGTAGCATCTATGTGTTCAAAAGCTGCCGGCGGTGCGGTGAGGCTGCTGTGCTGCTGAGGAAGAAAGAGTTTGTGTGCTAGGACAGGAGGGGACATCCCAAGGTGGCTCCTCACATCCCGCCCGTGGGCTGCCCTATTCCCAGCAAAGCACAGGCAGATGGAGGAGTCCTACCCAGTAAGTCGGGGAATATCCCGTTTAGAAACATGAGGCACCAGTTTTCAGAGGGAGGATGGCATCTCAAGGGGAAATGGAAGTCAAGATCGAGAGCAAAGCAGCCCTCCCCACCCAAATCCACTGCTGCAGAAACAGCTGGACTAGGTCAAACTTCAATATTCAGTTTTTATCTTTTTTTTAAAAAAAAAAAAAAAAAAAACACAAAAAAAAAAAAAAAAACAAAAAAAAACAAACAAAAAAAAAACAACAGCAGTATCATCTGAGCCATTACAGTTTACCAGCCTAAGGAAAGAACAGATTTCCACGTGAGGAGAGATTAAGAAGACCAACATTACTCTGAATGGAAGAATAAGGAAAATAGGCTTGCCTTAGGCTGTTATTATTGGCACAGATATTGTAGAAAAGATTAAAGTAAAAGGTTAGAAGTCTGCAATAAATAGTGATTATCTGTGAAGTTTATCTGTGCTGCAAGGCTTTGGTAACAGTTCAGCATGAAAAAGTGCTGGAATAGCTGGGATACCTGAAGCAGGCCCGCAATGGAGCAGTTATCTCTCACTTTCTCTCCTGGGAGCCCTTCCAGCCACCCATTTCCAAAGCAGTGGCTTTCATTTAGGATATTCTTCTTAAGAGCGTCAGGTCTATACAAGACTGGTGGCATTGTACAAGGAGCCACTGCCACTCTGAATGCAGCTGCTGCTTCTCCATCAGCTGTCCCGACAAAATCCAAACCCCTGAGGCCACAGCCACTCTTGGGTCACCTTTGTGATTTTGTTTTGTTTTGTTTTGTTTTTTGGCTGCTTTTTACTATCCCTGGGTTGTCAACTGCAGGGGTTTCTGTAGAGCTTAGTTCATGAGCTTGTCTGGGATGCTCTTCTTCCGCTACTGTCCAGCTCTTGGGTTGTTTTAGGTGCCCTGGGAAAGGCAAAAGGATTTAATGGCTTACATAGCTTTGGAGTTACAGCTCAACTTTAGATGCAAGTGTGAGCATAACTAACAGTGTGAGTGTATCCTTGACAGACTGGTTGAAATCAGCCCTGTAGACGTGGAGATACTGAAATGTGCATTCAGTTCAGATGGGATTTGGCTCCAGAGCTCACCTGTGCAATGCAACCCGTATTCTGTGCCTTTGTTAGGATGGCTGTTAGGCAAAATCACCCGGAAGACTGAGGCTTGAAAGACAAGTTCAAGACATCTTTAAAAAACTTCTCCGAACTTGTTAACTACAAATTAGATTTTTGTGAAGTCGTTTTCTTGCTTTTAATAGGAGAATGGATTTGGTACTAGGAATGTATTGAACAAGTATCACATTTCTTGAATTTGAAAGTATAGTCTTGGTCAATTTTTCTTCTCAGCTCAGCTTTCACACAGTCATAGACAAAAATTCCAAATATTTAAGTTTGTGGTTATTTGCAGTTCCAGGCACTACTGGCACTGCACAAGAAATAACCACCATGATTTTCACTGAAGATTCACAGTTTCTGACTGTTTAGAGGAAATGAAATGCAGTCCTCAATTAAATAAAGCTCTTTAAAAATTAATTTAGCCGTGAGTATGGGATGGAAGCGTGTGGGAATGTCTTAGTAAATGCACAATAAGACCCAAAGCAAAGTTAAGTGCTGTTGGAGACTTACAGGTATATTCGTAATATGCCTGTGACTTAATTTAAGCACATAATTCCTCTTTCATGCTTTTTTAAATAGAGGTACAGAAGTATAATTTTCTTAGTCTGAACCACAATTGCTGTCACTTAGCTACAGTTACAACGATAATACAAAAACAGCTATTGATGGGGGGAGAAATTCAGTAAAGTACTATTTTTAATAAAGTTTAACAATCCGATTTAAGTTTTTCACTGATTAGTAAAGAATGGTAACAAAAGAAAAAAATAAGAAAACAATGAAACAAGCCTAAAACAACAACCCATCTGCATGTAATTAAGCTTTGGAAGCCCCAGCTAAGACTTTATTAGTCATGATAAGAAGATGACAAACGGGGGGCCCAATCCAGGAAACTCTTACACTCGTGTTTTTACCCCGGTGAATTGTCCTGGTGAACGAGAATGCTCCAATACTTAGAGTTACTCCTGCTAATTTCTGCAGAAAGCTCTAAAATATCAATAATTTAGCACTGTGCAGTTCTTACAGTTCTTGAAAGCTTATGAATGACTCTCTTGTCACGCAGCAACAGTCTGAAATGCTTGGTTGTTGCTCTGTGTTTGCTGTTACCAGGCCCTCTTCTCAGCATCTTCTGCCTACCAGCTCATGGGGCTCAAGTTTTCACTCTGGATGTCAGCCTGTTGCACGTGAACTTGGTCTCTGGGGGCAATCTGGGTGTTTGCAGGCTGGTTGGCTGCACTCCGGTGTTGGGATGTTTCTGTGACTCTGACAATGACAGGATGGAAAAGGAAGAACAGATTGGGACTGACCTGCGGAGATGATGGGAAGGAAGAGAAGTTCTGGGGTGGGCACTGCTGTGGTGAGGCATGGGAAGCACCGGGAGGGAAGAAAGGCAAAAAAGCATCTGGGGAAGACACTGCCAGAAAGAGGCAGATGTGTCACACACAGATCAATCCTGGGAATGAAATACAAAATTTCTCAATCTTACCGTAATGCTGCTCTCAACAAATGCCTGTGAAACCCCACTGTCAGCGCCTGTGCTTCAGTTCACACAGAGTAGGTGCTTCATTCGGTGCTGCTTGCAAAAGGCTTCTCCACCTTGCTCATTTTGCATTTTTAAGTGACATATCCATCTTTTCTAATAGAAAGATTTTGTTTGTTTTCTACAGACAGAAAAGAGAACATTTGAGAATAGCCTTGAAGACTTTTAGCTTCATCACTGATAAAAATATCAGAAGGATGTAGATCAATGGAAATTCTAAAAGCTTCCATAATGGAGATAATTATCAAACAGTTTCTTGCATGCAACACCGTTCTTTATTTAATGGCTTACTCCTTGACAAAAATATTGAAGTATATACTGCTCTGGCTATATATTTTACAGGAAAGAAATGTTTTTCAGGACAGCGTGTTCCTTCCCCAAGCACATCCCTCGACAGTGCACCCCGTGCCAGTGATCTGACCCAAGTCTCTTTGCATCTTCACAGTTATTGGTGGCCTCATGCTCTCCTGTCCTGCAATGGCAAAAGGACTTTTCCTCATTTTCTCCACTAAGATTTTTTTTTTTTCTGCATAAAATTTCAACTAAGAGGTCCGGGTCAGTTGCATACATCGCATATACGTAGTATGCATACGTAGCAAGTCTCCAAGAACACCAGTTGCATTTTCCTCCTTCCATCTGGATGACTCACAGTTTTTTCAGCAGTGACAAAACAGAAGGGAGGGGGAGGGAGGAAGAGAATATTGGATTCTTAGTTAGATACTGTAGAATATTTTCAAGAATAGAATGAGCTGTATCAGCAGATACATAAATTAATGTTTGATAGATATATTGAAGAACAAAAGCTCTGTATTTTTCTATTTTTTAAAGCTGTTAACATCTCTTAAAATTGTAACTGGTAAGATCTCTTCAGTTTTTGATGAGTTTGATTGGAAACAGCTGTGTCCAAACTGTTTCAACATAAAATGAGAATGGGCTTGAAAATGAAAGATTTCTTTGTGTATAAATAAAAGAACAGCAATTTAGCCAGATTTAGATTTTGCAATGTTTTTGTTGAGTCATTACTATCTGAAAAGGAGACTGGTAATTATATTCTGTGATTGAAATGCAATTCCAGCACTGTCTTAGAAGCAAATAGGTTGAAGTTTGAGTGACACCTGATCAGTAATAAGGGATTGAGCAAAGCAGATCCACTATCAAAGCATTAATTTTCCCAATTCTCACCACTAGTAGTGATCTCATCACTTTTAACTAGGACACTATTTATGTTCTTAAAGGAATTCAGATATCACGCAGTATGAAAATATCCTAATCCTTCCTTGCAAGTAGTATGAACTACATAGCTCTTAAAAACACTCTTAGGACATTTCCAGATTGTTTATATTTTGAAGAGAGAAAATTCTCCAGGGATGCTGTGAATGGTTATCATTTTCATATCCAACATCTGGGTATCTTTAAATTTGCTCAGAATTGGATTTTAATAGCCAATTCAAATAGGTATCTACTGCTAATTCACATACTTAAGATTTTTTGAAACTTTTTTTTTTTCTGTTGTTTAGCATCCATGCTGCAAGGATGATGTCGTAAATCTGAGTGAAGCATTATTACTTCATCTGG